ATTTATAGTAACAAGGTACATCAGATTGACAAGTTGGATAACTCTGCCTACAATATTGACAGAATTATGCCCCTTTGGAACTTAGAAATTTTGGTTAAAGTTTTTTTGTAAAGTCAAATATCTCAATTATTGCTTGAGATATTCAATTGAAATTTAAAATACTTTTTTATAGTAACAATGTACATCAGTTTGCAAAATTGCATAACTCTGCCTGCAATATTTGCAGAATTATTTGCCCCTTTGAAACTTAGAAATTTTGGTTAAAGGTTAAAGGTCTTCAAAGATATTTACTTGAAACTTTACACATGCACTTAGGGTCATAATTGGAGGGTCATAATTGTATGTCACTGACCAAGTTCCATAACTCTATCTTGCATTAAGGCTGATTCATATCCCCTTTTCTACTTAGTCTCTTGGTTAATGTTTACATGCAAGTTTTACATATCTCAATAACTATTAAAGATATTTATTTAAAACTTCATATATGCATTTAGGGTCATAATTGTAGGTCACTGACAAAGATCCATAATTCTATCTTGCATTTAGGCTGATTTTTCTCCCCTTTTTCAACTTAGAAATTCATGGTTAAGTTTTGCTTGTAAGCTGTTATCTCAGTAAGTACTGAAGGGTTTGTGCCTTTTTTGGGACAATTTTATGCATTCATATTAATAAAGCAGTGATTTACTTGATAAAACATCTTAATAACAAGCCTTTGTACCTTTTCTGTCAAATTTATGTATTTATAGGTAATTAGTATTATTATACTCAATAAAAAACCCTTGTGACATTACCTTCCGAATAGTCAAGCCAATACTGTATAATTAGACTCTCTTTAAGGCCTATAACATGAATTTATAACAAAAAATTAGCCCTTTTGTCAACTTAAAAAATTTATCATTATCAAGGCTCTTTTACTATCAAGCACTTAGAATAGTCGAGCGTGCTGTCCTACCGACAGCTCTTGTTTATTGAGTGGACAATTGAATTAACCTAGATATCTTGCGCAGATTAAAGTGGCAGTTATTATGCTCATCCAGGTGTAGATGAGCAATGAACATGTTCATTTGAAAAATAATTTTTAACTTACCATCATTGTCTTAAAATAATATTTCGCTATGAAAAAAGGAAATAAGTAATCCATGGAAATTTCTATAAATATCATACTATATGTATCGGTAAAGTTCAATCTTTTTATAAGTTAGTTTTTTGTTGTTGATATTTTGTGCTAGTCATTTTCATCATCAGTTATAGGTCAATCACCATGAAAACATGAATAATGATGAAAATGACTCATTTATTTATTTATTATAAAAACATTAATATCGTGAATATTGACATTGACTTTCGTCCGATTAAGTCACTTTCGTATTGTTCAATGCGGGCAAAAGTAAGATATCTGAACAGGTATATAGAAATTATGAAAAAATACATGGATACTAAATCATCATAATGATTTTTTTATTCATTTCTGAAAAAAAAAATAAGTTTCAATTGAATATCTCAAGTAATAATTGAGATATTTGACTTAACCAAAAAACTTTAACCAACGCAGACGCGGACGCTGACGCCGACGCCGACGCCGGGGCGACTACAATAGCTCTCATATTCTTCGAATAGTCGAGCTAAAAACGGGCAAGTGTCATCAGTTACATACCTATGATTGGATTATAATAATACTTTAATAGTGGGATTAAAGCGTCACAATACAATACAATACAATACAATATCTTTATTTCACTCAAGACATGCACAATATATACATGACAACATGAGGTAAATAATACAATAGATATAAATCGAGGCACCGATCAATCATAAATCCACTTGGAAAGATCGAAATTCTATAAAATAAATAATAGTGTCTATACTAATTTATAGCGTCATTCTCGAAAACAGTGAATGAACAAAAAACAAATACAATCATACATAATTGTACATATAGCATGATATATTTTAAACCTGCTAAATCTGTGTGTAATTTCAATCTAAATAAGGAAAATAAAAAAAAAAAGAAGAAGAGAGAGAAAAAAAAATACATGATATTTCTCAGGATATTTCTCACCAATAATAACAACGGGAGAATAACCAAAATTGTTTAACCCAATATTTTTTTTTTCAGTTACTATATAAACAAATTATTTCTTTGACCAATTCACAAAATTTTCTATATTCCACTTTTTTAAAACACTTGTATTCCATTAATTCTTTATAAATAATGATATTCGGTCTGTTGTAATATTTTGCTTTTAACAAGCGCTTACGAGTGCCTAACAAAAAAGAACATTCGAAAAGATAGTGGAATTCATCGCCAATACCATTGTTGCATTTCGTACAAATTCTAAGATTTAATGGGTTTCTATGCCAAGATCGAGTTTCTACAGGGAGTCTATGGCTTCTTGTTCGGAAGTTAATCATATATCTAAAGTATTTAGGTGGTGTATTTATTAAGTATTTCTCAAATTCAAATTTTGTTTTAAAAAGTTTATAATTTGCACATTTGCTCGAATTTTCAATATTTGAGTACCAATCATTCAAGAAAAGCTAACCTTGTATACTACAAGGTTGGTTTAAACATATTTTATTCGATATATGTATACATTATGATGAACGGGCAGAAAGCTATGAAAGCTTATGAGTGTCCTGTCCCAATTTAAACAATTTACATATATACAGTTCATGGCATTATCATGCACAAAATTCATTTCGTTGAAAATATATCAAAGGCATTTTCAAAAAAGAGGTATATTGCACTTAATAAATACTAAACCAAATGGTCACGAGAAAAAAAATGCAAAAAATGGAGGTAAAAATTCAATTATTATATGACAGAGATTAATTTAGTTAAAAGTCGCCGTTTAATTTTCATCTAGGAATGTGAAATCGAAAAGACAACTGTGCTTAACGGAGACAAGGTTCTGTAAATCATTCCGACTAATTATGCTTTCATCCTTGCTATCTCTGATAAGAACTGAAGAAATCGAAATATTGTTTTCAAATCTGTAAACCAAATAAAAATCAAAAGGGGAAAACAGAATAATATTTTAATTAAATAAACTCGAGTGAAGTAAAGCACTTGCATGTAAAACCACCATCGGCCTGGACATGATGCAGCATATTTATGTGGTGGAACGTTTTACTGCATTTGATTACCGATCTCTCTGCTACATGAGATGTACATGTACGTTATTTCAGTAACGCCGGGAACCATCCTGATTACATAACTACGGTGTCCTCATCGTGCCATTTATTATGTCGTCAGACGATGACATTCCGATTGTTATAACAAATTAACATCGCACCGTTTGCCGGTGTGGTATTAAATTTTGACCTGTCACCGGTAGACGCAAGACAATACAATACCATGATACGATATTAGTCAAAATGTCGCTTCGCATTGTCGAATGTCGCTTCGCATTGTCGAGTATCGCTTCGCATTGTCGAGTGTAGCTTCGTTTTGCCATGTGTCGCTTCGCATTGTCGGGTGTCGCAGTGTAAAAGTCACAAAAAAAATCGCGACATTTTATAAAATATCGCTTTGTGTTGTCGTGTGTCGTATCGCATTGTCAAGCCTGGTATCGCATTGTCGCGTGTCATGTTCTGTATTTTTGCTCAACCTGACACTGGACAACGCGAAGCGACAATGCGACATGGCAAAGTGACAATGCGACAACGCGAAGTGATAATGCGAAAAGCGAAGTGACGCTCGACAATACGAAGCGACACTCGACAACACGAAGCGACATTTTTTGAATGTCGCCCGTTTTTTAACATAAAATTACTAAACGACATCGCGATATTTCGTTTGACAATGTTGAGCGTCTCTTCGCGTTGTCGAGCGTCGTATCGCATTGTCGCTATATATGTCACTTCGCATTGTCGTGCGTCGACCCTTAAACTAACTGACGACATAATAAATGGCACGATAAGGACACCGTACATAACGCCCTCTTGCATCCGATCTATAAACAATTCGAACCGCAAACCCGATAAGCTAGTTTATAAATGCATTAAACCTGTTCGGTAAGTTAGATAACTGAGTTTAATACACTTGTTACTATATATAGTAACAAAATCTCCTATGATTTCAACTGATATGCGTGTCACGTGACTTATTATGAGTTTGCGGCCCGGGGCCGAGAACTAGTTATCAGACCGCTGAACATGTGCACGTGCACAAACTGAAACAATGACGTCACATTTTACGTCATCAAACAGTTCACTGTAAAAGTGAAAGTAGGTTGAACCGCTTGATTTCTTTATGAGAGCTGAAGCGTATTTCGTACACACACAGTTTTATTACTATTGAAATTTAAAGAAATAATAGATCTACGACAAATTAATTCCGAAAAAAAAAATAAAATAAAACTTGCTTCTAGATTCTACAGTAGAAGATCTAGTGTACTTTGAACATATACAAAAAGTAAACAACTCTGTAGAAGTTACTGCACTGTATAGTAGAAATGCAGACAAGATTTTCAAGGAAAGAAATTTCAAAGTATTTTGTTTTAGAAAAATCTACCAAGTGTATTTAAGAGGTTAATGCACGGCAGAGTAGGGCCGGAAGGTGATAATCGGCCCGCAAAATGAATAATGGCCCCGAGGGCTTCAGCCCGATGGCAGCCGATTATCACCTGCTGGCACAACTAAGACGTGTATTAATGGGTTTATTCCTATAAAATTACTAAACGACATCGCGATATTTCGTTTGACAATGTCGAGCGTCGCTTCGCGTTGTCGAGCGCCGTATCGCATTGTCGCTAAGTCACTTCGCATTGTCGTGCGTCGAGCCTTAAACGCGACTGACGGCATAATAAATGGCACGATAAGGACACCGTACATAACGCCCTCTTGCATCCGATCTGTAAACAATCCGATAAGCTAGTTTATAAATGCATTAAACCTGTTCGGTAAGTTAGATAACTGAGTTAATGAGGAACATAAACAAATACTGTTGTAACTATTGAATGCGTTGCGTGGTTACTAAATATGTATGCAATTACCGTCAATATCAATATTGCCATCTCCATCTAAATCCGCTAACTCGATCATATGTTGTAGCTCATCTGCTGGCAGTTCTTCGCCAATCATTGGTTTTACTATTTCCTTTAATGTTTCAGGACTAATATATCCAAGATTTTCTTTGTCGAAACATTGGAATGCCTCTTTGAGTTCCTTAACTTGGTCAACGTTATTTATGTCTTCTACCACCTTTTCGAATTGCTCATATGTTATTTTTTCTGTAATTAAATGATGTCTTCTAAAAGGATTACATGAACATACAAAAATTCAACAACTAGCGTCCAACTAGTAAAATGAGTTATTAGATAACTATACGTAATTAGTCCTATAAAAAAAGCACCTGCCACGTTCAATAACACGATGGCCTGTCTTAAAACAGGACTAATATCTATATCACTTTTTCGGCCCCGGGCCGAAAAGTGATATAGATATAAAGCCCGCATTTGCAGTAATTTAATTGGCTAATAAAGCAGGGTAGTAGACGCCGACAGGTTGCATAAATGATACAAAATATTCTCAGTTTCTAAACATTCACAGTCTGACATTTTGTTGTACATTACGGAATACCGTGAGGGGCTTCGTGGTTGCACGTTAAAATACAGAAGGCTACAATGCGATAGTGCGACAGTGCGATGACAACAATACGATAGTGCATACATTCATGCATACATTCTGACAAACATATATACTCACCTCATTAGATTATCATTTTAGACTAAGATAAACTTGATTAAATAATAGTCTTTTATCATTCTTGTCTTGCATACATACTTCAACGGACCTTATTCCGAATCAGCTTCAACCTAATTTTTTACTTACCTAGAATAGACCATCATAATAAACTTACAGACTTATCTTATCAAACCTACCTCATCCAATCCTCGTTTTAGATCAAAATAAAAAATACATTCATACTTACCTAAATCTATCCAGCTCAATATTTTACAGACTTGTCCTATCGGACTTCCGCTTTAAACAACAAATAACTTCCTATCTACTTTTTAATGTCCCTTAAAATCCCTCCTACTAATTACTTACTAATGATACTAGTACTTTCTTTTTCTTTTGTTTTCCTAACTCTATGTTTCTTATCAGTCTCATATCCACATTTCTTTTTAGTTGTCCATCACTCTGCATACGTATGCTTTTCTGTCCCTTGTACATACAAGTTGTCAATGTTGGCTTTGCAAAAGTTCTTACTCGCCATAATAGCCATCTCATAAGTCTTATATGAAACGAAACACTTGCGAAGCCTTCATTAAATCATACAAAATATATAGGTCACTTCATTTTCCAATCACTTTTCATATTTTGCTTTTGGTATTTATTTGTAGTATCCCATTGTTTGTGTTTTCGATGCATTATTGGCTATCCTCAAATAAACTGTTAATCGTCAGATTCTCTTCAAAAAAGGTAATGACATTCACCACAAGAGTTTATAATAACATACAATTTACCAGTAATACTTTAACTTTGCTATTTGTATTGGTGTACTATTCCTGGCTAGCAGTTCTCTTGCATGTATCTGGAGACATTCATCCGAATCCTGGTCCAATCTCAGCTACTTCCTCAGTCTCATCCATGACCTCTACTCCATCGGAAATTAATCATATTCAAAATCATCTTTCTTTCGTACATTTAAATGTTCAGAGTATTGAACATAAACTCGATATCCTTTTTTCAGAACTCTGCGATTTTGATATTCTTGCTTTCTCCGAAACTTGGCTAAAAAGTTCTATATCAACAGAAGACTTATTACTTTCCTCGTATCATTCCCCTGAACGCAAAGATCGCATTGGGGATGCTCACGGTGGTGTTATTTTGTACATTAAAGACAATATACACTACAAACGTAGAATAGATCTAGAATTAAACAGGTTAGAATGTATTTGGATCGAGTTGATTCTTTGTAACAATCGTCATATTCTATTTAGTATTTTCTATCGACCGCCTAACTCAGATGTCATATACAACAATCTAATTGAAGATTCTATTGGTCTAGCCATTGACACTAATATACCTGACATCATCATTACGGGTGATTTCAATCTAAATGTAAACTGTTATTCATCTAACCGCAAAATTACATCCATCACTCAACAGTTCAATCTAGAACAACTAATTGATGAACCAACACATAACACTGAACATTCAAATTCTTTGATCGACCTTATATTAGTTTCAAACAAAAACAATGTTATTCATTCTGGTGTTGGTGATCACTTTCTAGAACAAGAACTAAGGTATCACGTTCCTATATTTGGTTTTCTGAAATTCCGTAAACCGCGACAAATGTGTTTTGACCGCATTGTTTGGGAATATGAACATGCTGACTACGAAGCATTACGTGAAGATATAAATACCTATACATGGGAAAACCGCTTTGATGCATATGTTAACATATATGCGAATAACGTAATCAATCAGATACAAACAATTGCTAAAAATAACATCCCTAACAAATTGATTAAAGTAAGACCATTAGATGTTCCATGGATGACAAATTCAATCACAGTTAATATCCGTAAACGAAAACGTCTGTATAAAAAAGCTAGAATGACAAATTCACAATATTACTGGCAAAGATTCAAATCCATTCGTAATGAAACAATATTATTGATACGGGAAGCCAAGTCAAACTATTTTTGTAAACTCTCTAATAAATTTGAAAATGAATCACTTTCGTCTAAAGACTGGTGGAAGACTCTGAAATCTTTTATTTCATCAACAAATAATAGTAGCATTCCACCACTGACAGATCCCTTTAACAGAAATATTGTATACTCAAATAACGATAAGGCAAATCTTCTGAATAACTTCTTCGTAGAACAAATGTCTATTAACGATGAGAACAGAGATCCACCTTACCTTAGTTCACCACTTTCCTGTCTCAACGATATTGTGCTTAGCCCTCATAAAGTAAAAGATGTTCTTCTTTCGTTTCAAGTTGACAAAGCAGTAGGTCCAGATGGTATAAGTAATAGAATTTTACGCGAGGCTTCTCATGAACTATCTTCCCCCTTGTGTGACTTATTCAATGCTTCTCTACGATGTTGTGAAGTTCCAATCACATGGAAAGAGGCGAATGTCACTGCAGTTCACAAAAAGGGCGATACATCTCTCCCAAATATCTATAGACCCATATCACTTTTGAACACTACAGAAAAAGTATTTGAACGTCTTGTATTTAAACACATCTTTAACTTTCTCAAAGTAAATAATTTTCTGTCTACTGCTCAGTCTGGTTTTATCCCGGGTGATTCTACAGTTAATCAGCTTGCATTCATTTATGATACCCTTTGTAGTTCACTTGACAATGGCCTCGAAGTTCGTGTGGTTTTCTTTGATATCAGTAAAGCGTTTGACAAGGTTTGGCATAAAGGCCTACTTTCAAAACTAAAGCACGCAGGTATATGTGGATCTTTGTTATCTTGGTTCAATAGTTATCTTACTGATAGAAAACAAAGGGTCATACTACCTGGCGCCTACTCATCATGGGCTTTTGTCAAAGCAGGAGTCCCTCAAGGCTCTATACTTGGTCCCCTATTATTTTTGATCTTTATAAATGATATTGTTAATGAAATTGAATCTTTCATAAACCTCTTTGCTGATGATACCAGTCTTTATGTTATAGTTGAACATCCTAACACAGCAGCCACACTTCTTCAGTCTGACATCCAAAAAATCTCTTTATGGGCAGAAAGGTGGTTAGTCACCTTCAATCCTTCAAAATCGGAATCCCTACTTGTAACCAGAAAGCGAAATCGACAGCATCACCCTTCATTGCATATGTTTAACCAACAAATTCCAGAAGTTTCTGAACACAAACATTTAGGCATCTTTATTTCTTCTGACTGCACATGGCACAAACATATTGAATACATAACCGATAAAGCTTGGAAAAGGGTTAATATAATGCGTAAACTGAAATTCTCTCTGGACCGTAAATCTTTGGAAATTATCTATATAGCATTCATTAGACCTATTTTGGAATACGGTGATGTAATTTGGTGTAATTGTACCCAATATGAACTCGAACAGCTTGATAAGATTCAAAATGAATGTGCACGCATTGCAACTGGTGCAACCAAGCTTATCTCACTAGAAACTTTGCAGAAAGAAGTTAATTGGGAATCGTTATCCGAAAGAAGATATAAACACAAACTAATTATGTTTCACAATATGCAGTCGAACAAAACTCCAGATTATCTCCCATCATTAATACCAAATCCAGATCAATCCCGATACAGCTTACGAAACTCTGAAGATGTCAGAGGAATTACATCAAGGACTACTCTGTACCACAATTCTTTCTTGCCATCAGTTATTCGTGATTGGAACAACTTGCCTGTTATAATACGAAACAGCCCTACAATATCTTCATTTAAAACTTTCTTAAACAAGGACAGAAAATATACACCAACATACTTTTATACAGGTAGTCGTAAACTGCAGGTCCTTCACACCCGGCTTCGAACGAACTGCAGCGCATTAAATCACCACCTGTTTTTGAAAAACATTTCTCTTACCCCTTTGTGTAATTGTGGGCAAATTGAAACTACCCAACATTTCTTTTTCGAGTGCTGTGCATACGATGCCGTCCGCAGAACACTCCTCCTTAACTTGCATGACTTCAGCATAAACCTTCATAAACTTCTTTATGGTGACCCATCTCTTACATACCAGGACAACGTTATTATATTTACAAATGTACAAAATTATATAGAAAAAACGAAAAGATTTACTTAGATCCATTCTAATTGAGACTTTAATCCTCTCTCACCCCTTTTCTTCTCTTTTCCACTATTTTGTTTTCTTCTTTTATATATATTCTTACATTTTAGACATCTACTTGTCAGACCAAACAAATAATGGTAGCGAAATTTCAGACCCTTGTGCTGTTAATTGCAAATGCCGAAAGTAGTCCGCTTTTTTGAAGCGGTTACTTCCCTTTATATGTACACTAACGCCGAAAAATTCAGGGGAGATCACTGCGTAAAGATTGTCAAATGACAGGCGCATTAATTTCAAGCAAAATAGTTCCCAAATGGTCGAAGATTTCTAATAGTGTTTTATTCTTTATAGATATTCATGCTTATAGTAAGCTCCATGATTATTTACATCTGTGTTAAACAACAGCTAGGTTTAGCGTCGAAATAATTAAGAAATAATATATCCAAAACTTTGATTTTATTGCTCAATAACATCACTGTTTGGAGTTCGGATGCGGGGAATTATATCACGAGGGCGGAGCCCGAGTGATATAATGATGGGCATCCGAACGGAAAACAGTGATGTTATCAAGCAATAAAATCATCGATTTGGATATATTATTTTGATTCTAACACGACATCAACAAATAAATGCTGCCGTACATGATAATTAGCTAAATTGCGCCTGTTTTGTTTCCGTACTTATTGTCAGCGCGTCACATTTTAGTGGTTACGTCACGTGTATTTTAGAATAATATGGTTTTCTTCAGGCCGTCTAATAACTTCACCGTGGCCGAGGGGTTTGCACGCTCGCTTAGGAATCGAGAGGTCTTGAGGAAAGCATTGGTGGCAGTATACAATCAAAGCACAGAAGGCGCTGAATTTGTTTGGGTCTCAGAATGTCAAAAAGGTGAAGGTTGTGAGATTATTAAACAATTTGTTTTTGTATAGTGCCACCAATGCTTTCCAGCGTTTTAATTGTAGTAAATTGGCTATAAAACTAATTGTAACACTGATATTCGATCTAATGTTTATTTGACTTAAACAATTTGAAAAAAAATTAGTTTTCCTTAACTGGGATTTGAACTCCAGACCTCTCGTTTCCTAAGCGAGCGCGCAATCCCCTCGGCCACGGTGGATTTACATGTTATATGTTAACGGCCTGAAGAAAACCATATTATTCAAGTTAGGGTTTGTAATGACGCTAACTGTTGTTTAACACTTGTGTAAATAATCATGGCGCATACTATAAGCATGTATATCTATAAAGAATAAAACGATATTAGAAATCTTCTACCATTCGGGAATTATTTTGCTTAAAATTAATCCGCCTGTCATGTGACCATATTTACGCAGTGATCTCCCCTAAATTTTTCGGCCTAAGTGTTATATATAAAGGGAAGTAACCGCTTCAAAAAAGCGGACTACTTTCGGCACTTGCAATTAACAGCATTAGAGTCTGAAATTTCGCTACCATTATTTGTTTGGTCTGACGACCCAAACAAATAAAAACAAATGGGTTTATAATCTCACAACCTCCACCTTTCTGACATTCTGAGACCCAAACAAATTCAGCGCCTTCTGTGCTTTGATTAGATATAGCTAAAGTGATTTTAGCTCAACACGAGGAACTCCGATTTGCTGATGTATAGAGGAATTATGTTTGCCATGAAATACTTATTTATTTTGAGATGTTAGTAAATATTACATCTTGAAATTACTTTGTGGGTTATGCCATATTTTCTTCTTATACTACAGTGTTTATGGTCAGCAGATTTAATGTACTGTGCATTATGCGAGAAACTACTGACCAGTTAAACGTACATATGTATAGTAAAATCTGATGACCAGTTAACCCATGACTGCATAAGCATTTTTTGTAAAACGGTTTTCATTGAAAAGCCTCCTTTTACACAAGTTCAAATTGCTATGAACTATTAAAAATGCTTAATTACTACTAAATCAAACTTGGCACAAATGTTTACTGGATCATATATATCCTTTGTAACGGCATACTCAATCTTAAATTTCCTGTTACCTTGGCAACGAGGGGACATATCAAAATTGCAAAAAATCACTATTTTGCGTTGATTTTTTCCATCAAAACTGATTTCAAAGTACTGCAACTTCTCAATGGATTGGGATAGAGTGAAAGACTTTTCCGCATTGGTTACATGTTACCTTAAGATCGACCTAAAGCCATTCTTTAGCCTCTCACAAGTCCAAAATGTTCTTGGCGTTGAGTGGAGCAGCAGCCCCTTCAGAACCCCCATGCAAAAGATCGCACATCCCCTTTCTATCACCCTCCCTCTCCCGATGTACATGTATCTCTTCGATGGAGGGCGGCGCCGAAAAACAGTGATAACTTTTTTTAATAACATTTCTCAAATGAATACAAATGTTTATGGATGAAATAGGACATTTTTCACTATATGAGGCCTTAAAAGGTGGTGGGGGTGGGCTGAAAAGGCGTGTGTTTGTCTATATGTGGTAAAGGGTTAAACATATACTGTAGTAGTGAAAACTGTAGTACTTACAGTGAAAACTGCTGATCAATTAGATGTCTAGAGAAATATGTTATTTTGCCGTGTATTTGTTATTTATATTGTAATGTTAGTAAATATAAAGATTCTACATCTCGCAAACCAATAAAACCACTGCTGAGCAAATAAAATTAATTGCTTAAGTGGTTTTTGCCGTATTTTCTTCTCATTCTGTATGGTCAGCAGATTTAACGTACTGTACGTCATGCTAAAAACTGCTGACCAGTTAAACATATAGAAGACTCTGCTGAACAGTTAAACATATAGAAGAATCTGCTGAACAGTTAAACTTACAGTAAAAATTGCTGACCACTTTTTAGATATACATCGGCGAAAATTATGTTAAGACGTAAATTTCTGATTTTATTACACTGTTAGTAAATATGATAAATCTACATCTTTCAAAATAATAAAACCACTGATGACCAATTAAAGATATAATAGAAATTACTTAAGTGATTTCAGCAATATTTTTAAATAGTACAATGCTGACCTGTTAAATTTATTAATGAACTATATCTGGATTTATAGAGAAAACTTTTATATTAGAAATAAAATGCGTACATTCGTTTTCCGTATTTTCACTGTAAAAATTGTTCTTCACCGCAGTGAAACATATTTTCCGTATTTTCACTTGTGCCGGACTACTTTCTTCTAGGTTCAGCCGATAAACAACATTTAAGGGCAAGTCTTTCAAATTGTAGTGTGAAAAAGAGAAAAAAAGTATATAATAATACCGCAACTCATGAAATATATATTTCATACCACTCGATAAAAATAAATTCTGTATTTACAAAAAAAACCAAAAAACTTGAATATCCTCTATTTTCTACTGACCAATTAAATATTTTTGGCAGCTTTGAAATGTCAACATAACATCATTTTCAACTTTCTTTTAAAATTTCACACAATTTATAACATTTTTCGGTATACTATATAAATATATTACCCCTATCTTTTGATATAAAATGTAACTTTTTATTAATTCATAATTTTATTAAGACGTTTTCAGTATACAAAAAAGGAAAAGAAACAAACAAAAAAAGAAAAAAAAAGAAAAGAAAAAAACAAGAAGAAAAAAATCTATTAACAAAAGTAAAATTATTTCCCAATATTCTAATTTTTATACCGTCAGCTTATTCGTAAGCAGTTTATAATTGCCAACCGGAAGACGATAGTCTTCACTGCGATAACGCGATGGCGACAGTACGATAGTGCGATGACGACAGTGCGATAACGCGATGACGACAGTGCGATAATTAATGCGACAGTGCGATGACGACAATGCGATAGTGCGATTGCACTGTCGCACTATCGCATTGTCGCCCTCTGTATTTTAACGTATAACCACGATGGCCCTAACGGTATCCCGTACATTATCGCACTGTCGTCATCACGTTATCGCACTGTCGCCATCGCGTTATCGCATTGTCACCATCGTTCTATCGCATTGTCGTACTGTCGTCATCGTATTATCGCACTGTCGCCATCGCACCGTCGTATTGTCGTCATCGCACTATCGCATTGTCGCCCTCTGGATTATAAAGTATAACCACGATGGCCCTAACGGTATTCCGTAGTACATAAACAATATATGTTAATAAATAAGTGATTTGATATTGGCCCTGTTATTTGCCCGAGGGCAGTCGTATTAGCCCAAGGCCGAGGGCCAATACGACTGACCCGTGGACAAATAACAGGGCCAATATCCAATCATTTATTTATTGACAATTTTATTAAATAACTACATGTACTTAATATTTCACATTTAATCCTCGGATATTTCTTCTTATTTTAATTCTAACATATTTTAATTTTAACAAAGAACAACTGTAAAAATAACTAAATTTTATCAGTTTGTATGGAAAACCTACATTTTGTAACTTATATTATATACTTAAAGAAACATTAATAACTATAAAAAGCGATTCAATAACAATTGGTTTCTGTACTGTTTGTTGAATGTATGTACCTGGGTTTCCTAAACCATTTTTAATGTTTTCAATGTCTTTTGGTGTCGGATTCGTTCTTGCTATTCTTAGCGCGGCTTCTAGTTCATCCATTCTAATTTGTCCTTCTCCCTCGATATCAAACACTTGAAATGCTCTCTTTATTTCTACAAGATCGGAATAATTCAATATCACTCAAAAGCAACGAAAGAAGAAGAAATTGTAAGAGAAGTTATATGTTGCTGTACTTATAAAAAGTCGGAAAGTTTATGGGCCGTTGTCATAAAATCCTAGTTAAGGCCAGGCAAGCAAGCAATATATCAACATGTATACACGAGTGTACAAGCGGTGACACAATAAATGTATCTGCTAACAATACATTATCAATAAAAAGTATCACACTGTTGGTGAAATATAAGTGATATGTTTTTGTTTACAAAAATGATTAATTTGCCAACAATTTCAGATCACCTACCACAGATAGTTGATTATTTTGATCTAGAAGTAATGTAAAATGATGTGTCACTCTGTACATTAAGGAAGAAATAGGACAGTCTTTATCTAATTCAAAGCAGTTAAAAGAAAAAATTCAGGAATGTGAAAATATTGCAGGAATTGTTAAAAGTAACACCAAATCTATAATGAGCGAAACGAGTAACACGGTAAGTAAACGAATATGTTTTAGTAAATCGAATTTAAAGAAAGGAATAAACGAATTTTAAATAAGGTTGCTACGACATAATACTTTAACCAGTAATACAAACATTTCCAGGAATATGTCTACATTTTAAAATGATCATTCGTTCAGAATGACGATCTGACAGCGACTTTTGTGTTTCGTCAATACGAACAATAAGTAAAATCACAGAGCTATATTTTAGTACAAAAACGCATTTATCTATTTGTTGATTTATTTATTTATTTATTAATTTATTAATTTATTTGGTGTACCTTATCTATAGATGTTTGCCAAACTTCTAGACTCATATTATACTTGAAGGAGATAAAATATGATTCAGGTACTTTTATGACATAACTAACGTTGCTCCATTCACGTAATTTGCCTTTACCCCGTTAGCATTTTAAATCTATCTTGCAATATGACACGATTTATTTTGGTAATGTCTTGTGGCGCCGTTACATGTCGCAACGTCGCTAAATGTCGTACTTGCCGCTAAATGTCGCACCATTGCCGCTAAATGTCGCAAAATCGCCTGCCGTTAAAAGTCTCAATGGTAACGTTAAATATCGCATGATTTTCACTTCCCGTTAAATGTTGCAACACTAACGTTAAATGTCGCAAGATGTGAGTTCATATTAAAATAGTAGCTAAATTTGCCGTTATGCTAGTTATCTGTAACTTATCATTAGTAAAGCAAAATGAATGAGTTCATATTAGAAAAGGGTGGGGGTCCAATCTATCTGCTAGGATAGGCTTGGTTGTGATTTCAAAAATGATTGGTTGAAATAGGAGCTTCTTATTCGGTTTTAAAATCTATAACCATCATTCATGCCTCTTTGGCTTTTGCACACATACGTGTTTTTATTTAATAACCTACGTACCGAGATATTTAGCTACGATATAATTTGAAGATATATCTAACATACTAGGGAGTATATTCTAGGAAATTGGATTGAGATTTTGTGTGTCCGCATTTTCCCTATATCTTCACCTTTAAAAGGTTTTATGATACTGTCACTTCAAATCACGAATTACGATTTTAGAAATTTTATTGATGCAAAATCCTGTGTTTTTTTCTTTTTTCTTTTTCTTTATTACAATTTAAAAATATTGTTTCAGTCATACACGTACGGTATGTTATAATTTTTTTTAAATGAATATGGAAGTGTGCCGAGGCAAAAATTCATATTTATATTTAGTGACTACTTTCATTTATTCCAGCACTTTTAAGTGTTAAAAATTGAGTACCGCTCACCGAAGATAGGGGCGTGAAGGATGTTGCACTTTTTCATTATCCCTCATGAACAGACTCAAATAAACCGAGTCTGTAATTTTCATGTAATTATGTTGTGATTAAAGCTCCTGAGGGACACCCCAATGGACTATTTTTCTGCAAATGGTGCATTAATTTTAATGGCACCAAACTATCAGAAACGGACAACAGGATTTTACTGCACTAGATGCGTTTTCAGGTGGATCACTGTTAATTTCTCTCTTTGTTAAGACCAGTTTGAAAACAAATCATATATCAACAGAATTCATTTTATACGAGACTTTTACTTTTTTATCATTAGTTTTTAAAGAAAAATTGTTATATTCGAACAAGTAAATGTGAACGTTTGAAAGAAAATGTTGCCTTTTTCTTACCTAAAGTACTATGTGAGTAGTTATGATGCAATCAATATGTCTGCGACGAGTTCACTCACGAGGAAAAGAAGAGTGATCATAACCATTTTGCCACGACATTATATATAAATTTTACTAATATAATATAATAATACTAATTTTGAAAGTTCAACCAGTTTTTTTTACGGATTACCTAAAATTCACAAAAGTAGGAAAATTGAAGAGGCAATTAATAATAATAAATCTGAATACATTAAAGTTTCTGCACCAGATGATTTAAAGTTTAGGCCTATTGTAGGGGGACCTAACAGTGTTACACAGAGACTTAGCCACTTTTTAGACCTCATATTAAAACCATTATGCAGACAAGTTCCAAGTTTCATTCGAGATGACTTAGATTTCCTGAATTACTCGCCGGGAAATGTAGAAGAAGATTCTATTTTAGTTACTTTAGATATCGTAAAGTTGTATACAACCATTCCACATGATCTTGGCTTACAGAAAATTCGATATTGGCTAGAACAATTTTCCGGTAAAATTTATACTAGATTCCAACACCAATTTATATTGAATTCACTTCAAATTATCCTAAAAAATAACGTATTTTATTTTGACGGCCAATACTACACACAGAATAAAGGAACAGCTATGGGTCCTAAAGTTGTCCCAACTTATAAAACTTTGGTACTTGAATATTTAGAGAAAACACTTTACGGAAAAAAGCAACAATTCACGGAAACGAATTTTCAAACTACATTAAAATGAAATGGAAAATATTATTGGATGATTGTCTTTAATAGTCGGGAAAAGTACTAACATAGATGATTTATTAAGAGAAATAAACAATTTACACCCGTGCATTCAATATACATTGAATAAAAGTGACAGCAGCATGCCATTTTTAGATGTATTAGTTATGAAATCTGGAACACATATAACAACAGATATCTACAGTAAACCGACGGACACATACAACTACCTCAACTTTAAATCGTGTCATCCGAAACATACAAAGTTAACTACAAGACTTAAAAATCAGAATTACCCAGATGAAATTATTACATACGGAATATCTAAAGCCAAATTGAAAGGTCCCATCAAAACTGAAGAAAACATAACAGCTAACAACAAGTACAACGTTATTCCATGTGTAACAACATTTAATCCCAAAAATACCAATATTTCCCAAGCAATTCGATCATATGAAAAAGTGAAAGGATGAACAGTGTTTTAGAAAAGAAGCGTAATATAAACAGTAAAAGTTACCTCTTCAAAGTTCGACATGAAAAATAATACTGTAACAACAGTTTCTAAATGCAACAGGAGTAGGTGTAAGACATGTCCTTCTTTAATAGAAGGAAATGAAATACAATTTTGTAACAGTAAGACATTTAAGATCAAACAAAGTATGAACTGTGTTTCAAATAATGTGATATATTCAATTATTTGTGACAACTGTAAACAGTTTTATATTGGCCAAACAAAAAATGAATTATGTATGACTTTACATATGCAACAAACAAACACAGAAGAACTCAGAATGTTGCAAGTCAATAAACATTTACATAAATGTTTAGGAGGTAAATTTAACATTTTCCCTCTGTATAAAATATTATTTGTTTGGGCCGTCAGACCAAACAAATAATGGTAGCGAAATTTCAGACCCTGATGCTGTTAATTGCAAATGCCGAAAGTTGTCCGCTTTTTTGAAGCGGTTACTTCCCTTTATATGTACACTAACGCCGAAAAATTCAGGGGAGGTCACTGCGTAAAGATTGTCAAATGACAGGCGCATTAATTTTCAAGCAAAATAGTTCCCGAATGGTCGAAGATTTCTAATATTTTTTATATTAATTTTTTATTCTTTATAGATAAACATGCTTATAGTGAGCTCCATGATTATTTACATCTGTGTTAAACAACAGGTTTAGCGTCGAAATAATAAGAGTTACAAACCCCAATTTAGAATAATATGGTTTTCTTCAGGCCGTTATCCTATAACTTCACCGTGGCCGAGGGGTTTGCACGCTCGTTTAGGAATCGAGAGGTCTGGAGTTCAAATCCCAGTTGAGGCAATTCATTTTTTTTTACATTTTTAAGTCAAATAAACATTGAATTGAATATATCAGTGCTGCAATTAGTCTTATAGCCAATTTACTACAGTTAAAACACTGGAAAGCATTGGTGGCACTATACAAAAACAAATTGGTTTATAATCTCACAACCTTCATCTTTCTGACATTCTGAGACCCAAACAAATTCAGCGACTTCTGTGCTTTGATTTTGTCACGAGATTGATTAGAACTTTTTGATTTCTTATCGTGTCCTAATGCACATGTCGAGAACGTGATAGTAAAGTTCAAATGACCATAAATACAAAAACATATGCACTATAGAGTTTTAAAAGAACTTTATTGTTCAAAATAAAACATGGAACAGATGCGTAAAGAAAGCATTTTTTATATTTATTGAAGAAACAATATGAATGAGGACTGCCTTTCTGGCGTTAAAATGGAAAAAAAAAACACGCAAATATAATACAAGCATAAACTGTTTGTGCAAATAACATTTTAAGCTTTCAAAACTGATTTTGTTTATCTACGTTAACTTCTGTACCAGATTCTATCTAACACATACCAGGTTGTCTCTTATGATGCTAGGATGCCGACTTTAGGCTTCCAGGGCGTTAGGCAAACTCCTAAGGTCGAGGTCGTCAGCAATTTAGGCTTCCTCTTCCGACTGCGAGACGATTTGCCTACTCAACCTACTAGACCATCATTCTGCCAACTCAGGAAGCCAGGCCGTTAAGGATGTCTCTTTTGTCAATTTTACAGACATGTTTGCACAAAACTATTTACA